AACCTTAAAAATTACACGCAGTGGCCGAGGCCTTGCAAGGAATATATAGAATTTAAATTTTTCTTACTTTTCTTTGTAGCATTGGAAGTTCTGATAGTTACTTGTCAGTTATTTTAATCAGGCTGTTGCAGCTTATCTTAACCCACTTTGACAGAAGCTCACTATACTAATAAAAAATCTTTATCACCAGCAGATTTGGCAAAAAACTGAAAGTACTCAAGCTTACAGAATAAGTTGTTTCTTTTAACGAACGATGTGCTAACCAACACCAAGGGTGCCAGAGCCTTGTTCACATGCTTGTGGTTTTCATCCACTCAGAGGCACTTAGTGAAGTAAGACATGCAGATGTATAACTGGCACAACACCTGAATTTTCTTTTTACTTTCAAAGTAAAAATGTGCATAACTGTTGTTAACAGTGCTGAGACTGAGAGTTTTATTTGATATTCACACTTAAAGTGAACAGTAACACTGATTGGATGTCTCAGACCTCTTCAGTAGCCTCAGTGATGGTGGCACATTGCCAGCTAAGCTTAACTTAACTTAAAAGATTTCAGTGTTCTGTAACTTTTGGCTTGATAGTTACTGCTAAATAACTCCTCTGTAAGCGTTTAATATTCTTTACCCTTACATATTTGACTGAGTCAGACAAGTCTAGAGTTATAAGACTGTAATGTAAGTATGTCTGAGATGGTGCCATACTTGATGGATCTTGCTTATCTTGATCTCTTATCCTGTATTGGTTGTTGAGCACTAGGATGCAATGGCCTTAGGTGTCTCCTGCTTGAGCCTGCGCATTCAAGCTGCAGAGAGTGAACTTCTCTTTGCTACTCATCTTAAAAGATGTACCCACTCTCTAACAAAAATATAAATATCATAATATAATATAAATAAATATATAATATAATATAATATAATATATAAATATAAAAATATCAAAGGACACATTATTACAGACATTTTATATCTTATACACGGTCTTCTTAGATGTAATTGAACAAATGAAATGCTTTGTCGTGCTTTCATCTGTACAGATAACTTTGTAGACAATTTTTAGGCAAAGTCTAATTTGGCATTTGTGTTTGAGCGCCTTGTTTACTGCTTACTTCCCATCCCGGTCTTTATCTTAAGTGTAGATGGTATTAAGCCTTCCTCCTGGAGAGCGTTGTGTGCTTGGCTACGTGTTCTGAAGACCTTTTACCGTAAAAAGGATCCTGTGATTATGCACCACTTTTCTCTTTTCTTTGGACGTCAGGGTCTTCATGTTGCCAAGCTCCTTATTGTGTCCACCGATGTTCCTGTTAAACTAGTGTTCCTGTTATATCCGATGGATTTATTTTTAAAGTCTGAGGAGTTATACTTGAACTGCAGCTGTGTTTTGGATTCACAGCGACGGCTTCCAGATACGATGGAAGCTCAGTGATGAA